AAAGCTGTTTAACATGCTAGCAGATTGAAGTTTGCTAAGTATGGGTGCTCCAGGCATTAACTCCCTTTCCTTCATCTAAGCATAAAAGTTTTCCAAATACTACAAAGATGCCTTCATTTCAAGCAAGAATATTTACATATACAGAAAAACACCTACACACAGAGCAATGCTGTTACAAATCAAGCCCTGACTAGAACAGCAATACGTGCTGGACGTGGTTAAACTCTGAGCTTAGCTGCCAGCTAGGATTTGTCAATTAAAGACACTTCTAATTTTTAGTCATGAAGACTTGCCTCATCAAGTTAATAATACCTTTTCTACAGAATCAAGATTTAACTTAAGTAACTAAGAAGATTCACAAGTAAACTAATATAGTCCAAAATAGTTTTGGGGAAAAGAAATTCAAAAACCCAGAAACAGATTCAATACAATTTTATCACAACCATCATTTTACAACTAACATAAAAATTCTGATTAAAAACCCTCCATTTTACAGTAGCAGTTCTCTTCTATACACAGAAGGCCTTATCCCCAAAGGAAATTCCAGGACTAGACCCCTTTGCCTGAAGTTCATTCAGAAAAAGAGAACATAGACACATCACATGTTAAAATCCAGAGACTAAACCCAAAGAACAACAGTTTCTAAGATTTTAATCTTACAGTGCGCAGTAGCCCCATCAGCTTAAATGTTAGTGCCTTCGGAGTAACGGGGGATTAGCAAACAGGCAAAGGAGTGATGAGGAAGAATGGACGCCCCGCATAGTGTGCTGTGCCAGAAGCTCCAGCACCCACTCGGGGGCTGGAAGCCTGGGTACCTGACTATAAAGCACCAGCACTCACTCGGGGGCTGGAAGCCTGGGTACCTGACTATAAAGCACCAGCACTCACTCGGGGGCTGGAAGCCTGGGTTGTGACTATAAAGCACCCGCAGAAGCGAACGGAGAGCGGGTGACACAGGGAACAAGCCCCACATCACTACCTTCAAACGACAGGAGAAACAAGAGCTTTTTTATTGTCTTTGCCAGACATGGTCTCACCATGTAGTCCTGGCTGGCCTTTAACTCAGCGATTCATCTGCCCAAGTGTCTGGGCATAATTTTACACTGTTAATCCCAGCACTTGGGAGGCAGAGGCAGGTGGATCTCTGAGCTCTGAGGCCAGTTTGATCTACATAGTGAGTTCCAAAGACAACCAGAGTTACATAGTAAGACTCTGCCCACTCCACAAAAAAAAGACAAAACAACAACAAAAAATTATACTAGCATGCTGGAAACATGGCTCAGTGGTTAAAAACACCTACTGCTCTTGCAGAGAACCAGAGTTCACACTGGGTGGTTCATAAGCACTAGACTTATGGGACTTGAAGGGACCCATACTCACATGCACACTCTCACTCACACAGACACAGAGGTTGGGAGGGATATGATGCATTTTAGTAAGCAAATCTAGAAAGCCAAAGCTGTATTCCAGTTCCCATGCCCTGGACTCTATAGAGAGGAGTTACAAAGCCCTAGGAAATGGTAGTAATTCCCCTGCACTCTCCATACCAATATATAAAACAAACCCAACTCCCATTTCCTAAGGGGACAACAGCCAGTTTGTGAATGTAAAAGATATGGAAAGTAAGTGTCTGAAGTTCAATGTACATTACTAAGCACAAACTAGTCTTAGAAGCCAGGTGGTGGTGGCGCAAGCCTTTAATCCCAGCACTCGGGAGGCAGAGCCAGGCGGATTTCTTTGAGTTTGAGGCCAGCCTGGTCTATAGTGAGATCCAGGACAGGCACCAAAACTACACAGAGAAACCCTGTCTGGAAAAACAAAAACAAACTAGTCTTAGGCTTCAAATCAGGCACTCAGATCCACAAAGCTGATTCAAAGTAGCCGTCTGCTATCATGGCAGCCTCCTGTTTATTTGTTTTGATTCAGCTTTTTGGCTTATAAAACAAGTGGGGGGCAGAGGGAGAGAGAGAAAGGGAGGGGGGGGAGAGAGGGGGAGAGAGAGAGAATGAATGAATGAGTGAATGAATGAATTAGGCTGGGAGTGAATCTCAGCAGCAGAATGTATAACTTAACATGCACAGGGCCCTGGGTTTAGTCTCCAGCAGTTACTACCCTGCCTCCACCTCCCCTTTAAGAAAGAGGGGGCATCAACTGAAGAATGGATTAAGAAAATGTGGTACATACACACAATGGAGTACTACCACTCAGCAGAGAAATTTGCAGGCACATGGATGGAACTAAAAAGTATCAT